CTGGCTTTTTTCTCAGAAATTTGACTTTCTCTGAATTTTAACTTTATCTCAGAATTTAGAATCAGTATAAAGGAATTATATACAAGCTCATATTTGTTGCTAAATAGTTACTTGCAAGTCATTTTAGTCTTATTTCAAGTGTGCTAAAATATTTTCACTGAAAACTAGACCAAAATCACTTAGTAATATTTTGTGTTTTTACAGTGTATTAATATTTTAAGAGTATAAATGGATTTTATCAATACATTCTGGCACAGCTGGCCCTTTAAAGACATTTATGATCTTTATGTTTCGCCTTAAATTAAAACAGTTTGGAATCTCGTCATTTTAGGTTGATAAATTCGGGGGTCGCTCAGGGCCCCTACAAACCTAGAGACGGCCCTGCTTCAGTCCTGTGTGTCTGATTCATATGTTCCAAATTAAAAGCTGCTGTTTCTATTTATTATCCTCGCAGGTTAAACAGTTTTATTGTTTTAAGGAAAGCAGCAGGCCCTCATCTGCTGCTGGCTGCCTTCCTACATTCCCTTTTTGTTTGATTTTTGCTTGAGCATACAGTCTTTGGGAATATTGTCTGTGGATTAAAAAAAAAAAGACGGGGCTCAGCTGTTTTTTTTTTTTTCAAACCTATAAAGGGATGATAATTAACCAGCAGTGTGGCCTGGGAATCCATTGTCAGCAAATGCAGAAAATCTGTAGCGAGGAGTCGGAAAACACTCTTTGATCCGTCCGTTTCCGGAAGAAGCCCTGACGAGATACAAGCAGGCTCGGAAAAAAGAATCACCGAATCCCGTCAGTGATGGGAAAAAGGTTGAAAACACGCCACCAAATCCCAGCTAGCGGGTCGTGCGCCCTGTTATCTAATATGATCTAATCTCCGGTTTCCCCTCCCCCGGCAGAGGACACCTGGGCGGAGAGCACAACATGTCAGGGATATTGGATATGTTATGGTGGGGTTTGCTGGAGGTGTCTTCCTCAACTCTCCCTGTGACTCTGATGAGCTGAGGGAGCGTTATTCCCCGGGTGATTCTGGCCGAGATTAACTCTGCTGATTCTGTGTGTCATTTCCCGACGCTCCTGTGTGGGAGTGAGGGAGCTAACCCAGTAATCTCACTCAGGAATTGGTGAGTTTTTCCTGCAAAAACAAAATATCACCAAGAATTTTTGGTCTAATTTGTACTGCAAATGTCTTGGTGCACTCAAAATAAAACAAAAATACATTAGAAGTAACTTTTCAGCAAAATATAGGAGCTTGTTTTGAGTCAATAATTGCTTTAAGGTGACATGTTATGTATCCTTAAGATAGGTATCACGGAAAATTAAAACAAACTCAAAACTTTCCATTTGCATGATTTATCGTTTTCTGTCAAAAACTGGACAATAGTCTTCAATTAGCTCTTTTTGTTTTATTTGTTCTTTCTGTTTTGTTTATTTTAGCAGCAGACAGTTCAAAATGCTTTACATGATAAAAACACAAAAATACAGTCATAAAACCACACTGTAAATCAAGAAACTTTACATTTTGTCAAGTGTTGTCGTTACACATCAAAATATTGGTCAATGTTTCATTTACTATGATTAAAATCAGCTCTAAACTGTTGGGTTTTTAGTCTAGGCTTAAACTCTGTGTCTCGGCTGTTTTTCTGGAACTTTGTTCCATATTTGTGGTGTAGAAGCTGAATCCTGCTTCTCCACAGTTTCAGTGTGAAATGACCATAAAGATTTAAAATGTGTTAATATTTGATATTGTGTTTTTTCATTATTATCCCATTATTACCATTATATTACTTGAAAATGGTCTCAAAACAACAATAGCATTGTTTAGGACAATTTATCATCCAATCAAAAAGTTTTATCCTGACATGTCCTATACAAAACATGTTTACTTTTTTGCACTCAATATTCTAGATAATAAGTGTTTAGTCAGAATGTGCTTTTTTAGGGTCTCTGTCACTTTAAATCTAAATGAGCTGCAGCTGGCCAGCCGAGGTTGCTAGGTGACGGGCGGAATTCCGCTGGGGTTGCTAGGTTACGGAGTGGGGTTTGCTGGGGTCACTAGGTGAGGGGCAGTTGTTGCTGATTTGTGATGTTACACACTGAAGGTTTTTGAAGCGGTTCGTTATCCAGATAAAAAACAGAAACTTATCGCAAAAAGAAAATGTTTGGGCTGTTCTTAGAAGCAGTAGAAACCCAAATGAAAGTACAAAAACGTGCAAAATGACAATTATGCATAATACATCCCCATTATTAACTACAATGGCAGATTATTTCACTTATAAAATGTCGTGTTAAAAGTGAGATAATCTGCCAGAGGAACTAATATTTTTGTTTTAATATTAAAAAATATATTTACTTGAAACAAACTCCTGTATCTTGCTGAAAATGTTCTTGTAATTTAGTTTTACCTTTTTTTTTAATAAAATTAAATCAGATTTTTAATCTTTATTATAAAATAGAAGCTAAAATAATGCATTGAAATGTTATTTGTCATGCAAATGAGAACAGTGTAGTTCTTGTTTGCTAGCATAACTAGCAGAGCGAACTGGACGAGTTTTTGACACTAAAATGACCAAAGGAAAAAAAAAACAAATAAAATTTTAATGAATGAGGCAGAATCTATGCCAATGAATGTAATAATTGTTAAAAATTAATTAAAAATGATGAAAGACATTCTAAAACTTGATGTTTCTTCATATATTTTGTAGCATCCGACTGTTTGGGGGGTCTTGATGTAGAAAAGTTACTAAGATATTTTCAGTAGAAACTAGACAAAATAAGATTTTGTGTTTTTGCAGTGTACATCTTGTTTGCTGATGGATTCCTAAAGGAAAAAAAAAAATAATTTGCCTCTACATTATTTCCCCGTCCTGATGCAACCTTTGGACCTCTGCTTTTTAGATTTTATTGGCCCAACAGATAAAAGGTTTCATTGGCAGTCGTGCTGAAACAAGGATGCAGCAATATCAAAGTCTATCAGATGAACCCAGATTGAAATGCTGCCTCCAATCTCTCCTCTCAATTATCTGCTGAATGGCGCTGGCACCGAGGCTTTTGTGCGCGGATGCCTGCGAACGCAGCAGTCATAGGAGCTCTTTGTAGGCTCAAGGCTGAATGGTGCTAAATGGGTGAAGAACAGGACAATTAAAAGGCAGCTGAGATGGATCAATCCAGCTTTTCTCTCCTATTTTCTGTTTGCTTAAAGAATCGACTGCGAAAAAGACAACCTGAGCATTTTTTTAATGTTGAGGAATAAATAACTGTACGTTTACAGGAAGAACAAAGAAAAATAATGACAATTTCTGGACGACCATTTCTGCTCTCTTTTTTTAGAATATTCAGTGTGGTGCAGGGCAGAAATATTTATTTCACTCGAGCTTTAAAGATGGAAGGAAGAACATTTACAGGAACATGTCGAAACATTAATATATTCTAAAAAAGTTCACTATTTTACTCATTTCAGAAAGTATAATCCATATAGAGTATTGATTTATTGCACAGAATTCTGACTTTTTTTCTTTTTTCTTTTTTTTTTTTTTGAATTTTCACATTTTTTCAAAATTTTAACTTTTTCTCAGAATTTTGACTTTTTTCTCATGATTGTAGCATTTTCCTGGAATTTTGAGTTTTTCCGAAGGATTTTGATTTCTCAGAATTGTGACTTTTTTCTTAGGATTTTAAGATTAAAACCAGAATTTTTACTTTTTCTCTCTGATAATTCTTTTGTCCCCCGAATTCTGACTTCAGTTTCAGATTTGTGACTTTAATCTTAGAATTTGGATTTTGATCTTCTTAGAAAATGTTTTTTCAATGGTTCTACTCTTCTGCAGGATTCAGACGCTGTGGTGATTTAAAATCATCATTACTGAAAACAGAATAATCTGCACCATTGTTGGGATCTTTTCTTTAAACCAGTGGGTAATTTACACTTTTAAACATTTTGAAACCTTTCAGTGAGAAAGCGGATGACAGGTCTGGCTGTATTTCCTGAATAAAAGCGTCTCTTCCTTTCCGTGGATCTAATGAAGTGTTATCTGGCAGGGCGTCTCACATTGTTCCACTATTACACTCTAACAAGTCTGATTTCACCAGACTCCTCTGAGACTTGGTGACTGGGAAGAAAAAAAACTTGGATTGCCTTCTATTTTTGGAGCCTTTCCAAAATGACCTCTAATTTCTCTGTTTCATCAAACCAGAGACGGAGGGACGACTTGGTCTGTGACAAAGAGGAAGAGAAAGTAGGATGTCCAGATGTCAGATAGTTTCTACCAGCTGGTTCTAACTGGGAATTTTAGAAAAAAAAATTTTTACCAAGTATTTTTGTCTAATTTCTACTTCAAATATCTTAATACACTTAAAATGAGAGAAAATTACGTAAAAGTAACTTTTCAGCAAGACATAGGAGCTTCTTTTAAATCAGTAATTCATTAATACTGATTAAAAAAAATACTAATTTTCATGTTTCACTTATAATACAGGAAAAAGGTCTTGTTTAACGTAGTGGTGTCCAAAGTGCGGTCCGGGGGCCATTTGTGGCACTTCAGATTGATATTGTATGGCCCAAAGCTGCAGTTCCAGAATGATACATATTTGTTTATTAACAATTTTATTTCTTTAATTAAGGTAAAATTATTCCGACATAATTTTCTTGGAATGAAAAATGTCAAGTACAACAAAAAGTATCTTTTTAAATTTTTATAATAAGTAGAACTTTGTTTATCCAGAGACTTTTACTGGAAACAAAACAAATCAGCTTTTACTGAATGTATTATCCTTGGATAAAAACAGGAAGCGTTTTGAAAGAAATCCTGTTTTTATCGCTTAGAATAAATTTGTTCAACCAAATCTAAAAGAATTGGAAAAATGAATGCCTTTCATTTAAAACAACAAATGTGAAAAATCCTTTTTAGGTTTTGGAACAAGAAAAAAAAATCCAATTTAAAAGAATTAATAAATCGTCCATCTTTATTTTGTTACAATGAAGAATTAGGGCCAGAAACACAAAGTTACATTATGAAAGTAATGTAATAATACGAGAATAAAATTGTAGTTTAACGAGATAAAATTTGTAATATTATCAGAATAAAGTCGTAACATTGCATGATATTTAAATCGTCCTATTACGAAAACAAAGTCCTAACATTAAGAGAATAAAATTGTAATATCACTTTGTTATTTTTTTCTTAGTGTGGCTCTAATCCTCTGTTATAATTTGCTTTATTTTAGTTTTTTTATTTGTGAGTATTTTTGATTCAACACTTTCATGACTGAAAGGTCAGATACTCCTGAAATAAGTGAAATAATATTTTTATCAGTATTAATGAATCATAATTTAAATACCTTGTAAATTAGTTTTGTCGTCTTTTTCGCCAGAAAACAGATAAAAACTTTTGGTTTTTGGGGGGGAGGTTTTGTGCTGCAGACTGTTTTATTAAAAAGAATCATTGTTGGAAACAGCGTGCCGCCTGAACACAAGGAGGATGGATGTTTTTGTGTCAATAAACAATAGTTTATGTGGAGATAATGCCGTGCAGCTGAGTTATTATTATGGGATGTAGAAGCAGCTGCAGCCGACGGTAACGAGGCGCTCGGCATCGTCCAAGGAGTCAGGTGCAGGAGAAGAGAAATAGGCAGATTAACGGCAAATCAAATCCCGCTCCGAGCTCAGCTGCCGCGCAGGAAGTTCAGAAACGGCTCCTTTCCTGTGATTCAGCGGTTACCCATAATGCAGCGGGGCTCCTTCCTTCCGACTGTGGCAGGAATCAAACGATTATTACTTCAGGAAGCAAACGGAGAAGAGAGAGAGAAGAAAGTTCAGGATGAGAGGATGGAGCTGCTGGGCGGGACCAGAGGTTCTGGTTGGTTCTGGACGGGACCAGAGGTTCTGTTTGGTTCTGTTCTGGACGGGACCAGAGGTTCTGTTTGGTTCTGTTCTGGACGGGACCAGAGGTTCTGTTTGGTTCTGTACGGGACCAGAGGTTCTGTTT